AGAGTTCCCAGCTCTGACGCCGACAAGCCTCAGGACATTGGCCAAGTCACTGGGGGTGGACATTTCAAAAGCACCTACATGATTTAGGAGCACACGTTCCCGTGCCTTGCAGTGGCACAGGTATTATGAGGATGCTGGTGCATTCCTGAGTGGAGAATGGCTCAGGGTGTGTGAGAATTAACAGGGATTGTGCTCCTCAGTCACTGAGATGCGTCTGTAAACCCCGTCCTTAAACTCCATGTTCCTCAGTTCCCCATCGGTAACATGGGGAAAATAACTGCTCATGAGATGGGGGACGTGTAAGGACTGGTTAACATTTGGGCCAGCGCTTTGAACATTTGAAGCACTCAAGATAACTAAGTGCTGCCCTCTGCCAGTGGACCTTCTGTAGCCACCTTCCTTCCCCACCCCCACTCCTGGACTAGCGATTGGCTGCGCACACGGCGGGCGATCTGGGCAGAGATGAAGATCTCTTCCGACATAGTCAATAATTCCTTTCAAGCTGCTGATCAGGAAGGGAGACGAAAGCCCTCCGCAGCACAGTGCATTCGCATGGGCGTCATTTGCATAACGAAGCAGCCAGCAAGGCCGCTAGTCTAGTCGGGCAGAAAGGAATGTGGAGATTCAGACGCGGCAGGGGACCCTCGGACGCACACAGAACCGGAGGAGCAGCGGGAGGGCTGGCAGGGCTGAAACAGAAAGAGCTCCCAGACAGCAACCAAGAGCTCCGAGAATTAAAGGAGCAGCCCGCTGCCTCAGCACATATGCTAACATATCCCTGCTCTATCTTTCATTAAAGACAACTGCTCTCCATCTCCCTAGGAACGCCCAGAAATATGGGACTCAGAACCGGGTAGAAGAAACAACCATATTCCGAGATACCTGGGATATAACTCATACTAGAGTAAAAGGGGAGGGATAGCTCAGTGGTTTGAGCAGTGGCTTGCTAAACCCAGGGTTGTGAGCTCAATCCTTGAGGAGGCCACTTAGGGATCTAGGGCAAAATCAGTACTTGGTCCTGCTAGTGAAGGCGGGGGCTGGACTCCATAACCTTTCAGGGTCCCTTCCAGCTCTATGAGATAGGTATATCCCCATCTGTTATTATATTAAAAGCCAGGTAGACAGCACCTAGTCGCTAAGCAACTACCTACTGCTCAGGTAACATGCTGGCTCAGGGTTCTGTGTCACCTCTTCACAGCTGGTCCAGAGGATAAGAGCCTACTACTGCTAGCAGAGTTAATCCATTAGGCCAGGTCTATACCACCACATACTTCAGGTCTATACCACCACATACACATGTGAATAAGCCACCCCCCTGAGTAACGTAAATTACACCAACCTAAGCGCCAGTGTGGACAGCGCTATGTTGGCGGGAGAACTTCTCTCGCAGACATAGCTACCACCTCTCACGGGGGTGGGTTTAGTGTGCCATCTCTCCTGTCGGCACAGAGTGTCTTCACCAGATGCGCTACAGCAGTGCAGCTGCACCGATGTAGCGCTTCTAGTGTAGACGTGCCTTTAGTTCAAGTGGAAGACGTCTGTGCTGTTTGTGCTGAAGATCCCAAATTCAATCCCCACAAACATGATGGTGGGGGAGTTTATAGTAAGAGGGAAAATCCGAAGAGACAGGACCAGCATTTGACATTAACATCTCCTAGAACGGCCTTAGGCACTTCTAATGCATTCACCACTTTTACGGAAACAAGACTTTCTTTAAAAAGTTAAAGGGACACCACAGGTCCAAACTTTTATGTTTTGTGCAACCTAACGTTTACAAGAGCCAAAAACAGTAGGGTGTTTTCATGTTACTGTTTATGTGGAAGATTATTGCATTCCAGTGTTTGCCATGCTAACACTGCAACACTGTTTAAACACTGCAGCATTATGTCTGAGAACCAGAAAGAGAAACTGATTAGAAGCAAAAGTTAAGTTTCAACTAGTTTATTTTCACCACCCAACCGGATTTAAATGCAAAATAGTAAATTACATACATTGTACAGAGTGAATTAAACATTTTAAACCCTTTCAGTTTTAGTAATCCAAGGTATTAGCCGGAGATAAGGAATTATTTTTTGAAACAAATGTGTTTTTTTAAACTTGACAAGTGACCTTTTAATCTGGCTCAATTCTTCCAAAGTAAGTGCCAAGCGCAGGGTGGAGAGAGACTTAATCAGGAAAGACATATGAATTCCGTACTGCTCATTAATTTTCCCATTGCATTTTCTTTCGCCTTTTAAGATTTTTTTAAAAAGGCCCCTGAAGCGATCCTGGCAACTTCAGTACCAGGCAAACTGGTTGAAGCTATAGTAAAGGAAAGAATTATCAGGCACATGGGGAAGAGTCAACATGGCTTTTGTAAAGGAAAATCATTCCTCACCTATTTATTACAGTTCTTTGAGGGGGTCAACAAACATGCTGACAAGGGTGATCCAGTGGATGTAGTGTACTTAAACTTTCAGAAAGCCTTTGACAAGGTCCCTCACCAAAGGCTCTTAAGCAAACTAAGCAGTCCTGGGATAAGAGGGAGGTTTTCTATTGGATCAGTAACTGGTTAAAAGACAGGAGACAAAGGGTAGAAATAAATGGTCAGATTTCAGCCTGGAGAGAGGTAAATAGTGGTGTCCCCCAAGGATTTCTACTGGGCTCAGTGCTGTTCAACAGATTCACAAATGATCTGGAAAAAGACAAATGGTGAGGTGGCAAAGTTTGCAGACGATACAGAAGTACTCAAGATAGTCAAGTCCAAAGCAGGCTGTGAAGAGTTACAAAGCGATCTCACAAAACTGGCAGACCGGGCAACAAAATGGCAGATAAAATTCAGTGTAGATAAATGCAAAGCAACACCTATTTGAAAACGTAATCCCAATTATACGTACAAAATAATGGGGTCTGAGTTAGCGGTTACCACTCAAGAAAGATCTTGGAGTCACTGTGGATAGTTCTCTGAAAACATCCACTTAATGTGCAGCAGCAGTCCAAAAAACCCATCAATGTTAAGAACCATTAGGAAAGGGATAGACAATAAGACAGTAAACATGAGAACGCCACTATATAAATCCATAGTACGCCCACCCACCTTGAATACTGCATGCAGTTCTGGTCACCCTATCTCAAAAAAGATATATTAGAAATGAAAAAGGTACAGAGAAGGGCAACAAAACTGATTAAGGGTATGGAAGCTGTTCCATACGAGCAGAGATTAAAAAGACTGGTACTGTTCAGCTTAGAAAAGAGACGAGGAAGGGGGAATATGATAGGGGTCTCTATAATCATGATTGGTGTGGAGAAAGTGAATAAGGAAGTGTTATTTACTCCTTCATATAACAGAAGAGCCAGGAGTCACCCAATTAAATTAATAGGCAGTTTAAAACAAACGAAAGGAAGTATTTCTTCACACAATGCACAGTCTGTGGAACTCTTTGCCAGAGGATGTCGTGAAGGCCAAAACTACACCTCTACCCCAATATAACGCTGTCCTTGGGAGCCAAAAACTCTTACCCCGTTATAGGTGAAACCGCATTATATCGAACTTGCTTTGAACCGCCGGAGCGCGCAGCCCCGCCCCCCTGGAACGCTGCTTTACCAGGTTATATCCAAATTTGTGTTATATCGGGTCGCATTATATCGGGGTAGAGGTGTATAACTAACTAGATAAGATCATGGAGAATAGGTACATCAACGGCTATTAGCCAAAATGGTCAGGGATGCAATCCCACGCTCTGGGTGCTTCTAAGCCTCTGACTCCAGGTGCTGCAACTGGACAAACAGGGAGTGGATCTCTTGATGAATACCTGTCCTCTTCGTTCCCTCTGAAGCACCTGGCATTGGCCACTGTCAGAAGACAGGATACTGGGCTAGATGGGCCACTGGTCTGACCCAGTATGGCCGTTCTCATGTTCTTTTAATGTTAGCGAAATCCTGTTACCATCTTACCAGTTTCTACAGTGAATAGCAATACAGATACACTGCAGCAGCCACGCTTAGCCATTCTTTAGCACTGTTTAAAACCAGTCTTGATTTCAATACCCTTTAACCACCTCACGTAATATAGAAGGAAAAGCTCTTCAGCTGGACTGTTGTCACCCAGCTGAAAATCTGACAGAGCTCAGATCTAACATTTAGAAGAGTCAAAGGTCAAAAACCAGTCCTAAATCTACCCTCTTCATGTAAAGAAAAGATTGCTACATATACCAACAATGGGAAAGCCACCACCTGGGGGGATTGTGCATCAGGCGAGAGATGCTGTTGCTAAGAGACCTGTTGCTAAGTTGTAAGTCCTGTCCTCTTACTACAAATAAAACCACTGATTATCAGCAGCGTAATATAATCAACCCATTTATCTCAGTCTGTTTCAGGGAGGTTTGGAGAGAGACCATGTGCATAACAAGAAAAGCATATTACTTCGTACTTACCCAGAGATTTAGATTTTGTTATTTCAGTGCCGCCGGGAACCCAACTAAGGCTACATCTACACTAAGGGGGGGAGGGGAGGGGTGTCGATTTATACGCAAATTCAGCTACGCGAATAGCGTAGCTGAATTCGACGTATCGCAGCCGACTTACCCCGCTGTAGGGACGGCAGCAAAATCGACCTCTGCGGCTTCCCGTCAACGGCGCTTACTCCCACCTCCGCTGGTGGAGTAAGAGCGTCGATTTGGGGATAGATTGTCGCGTCCCGACGGGACGCGATAAATCGATCCCCGAGAGGTCGATTTCTACCCGCCGATTCAGGCGGGTAGTGTAGACCCAGCCTAAGAGAAGGGCCCCATTGTACTAATCACTGTACAGACACGTAGCAAGAGGCAGTCCCTATCCCAAAATGCTTACAATCTAAATAGACAAAAGCTAGGAGAGGAAACGGAAGCTCAGAAAGGTGAAGTGAAGTGCAGAAAATAGAACTCAGGTTTATGGGGTCCCAATCCAGTGCACTATCAAGCGGACCACACCGTGTCTATTATCTAAATTCCCACACGATATATATAATAAATTAGTAACTGTACCGTTATCATCCCCTTTCCAGCCGGCTTCCCATTTCCCAGAAGTAGCGTTCTTGTTATCTTCTTGCTTGAGACAATCTAAGGAAGCCACAAAAACCAGAGATGTAATGGTCTAAATGATCAAAAACAAAGTGAGGAGGAATTGATCACAGCCTAAATTAGCTAATTCCGGTGACATGTTCACAGTCGCAGCTTTTCAAAACGTATCTTAAAAGGACCACAGAGACACAGTACTTGATTAATGTCACCATCCTCACCAGTGCACATTTGCATCAAGTTCTTCCTTCCCAAATCTCTTTAAAAGCATAGGCCTTGCTCCTGTTTTATGCAAAACACCATTGGCCCCTGCTAAAGTCTAATGGCGTGTGCTTGGCAGCTCACAGGACTGGGTTCTTAAACGATATATTCAGGAAAAAAAGCTCACCCCACTCAAAATGCAGCTGTCTCTAGGGTGGAACGTGGCGGCAGTTAAACAGTGCACAGCAACACTACCCAACACTTTAGGCCGAGTGAAAGAACGTAGTTTGAAATTCAAACTACGGGCCATATCCTCAGCCAGTGTAAATAGGCACAATTCTATTGAAGTCAATGGAGCTACAGTGATTTGCACCAGCTTAAGATACAGACTTACTTTTTGAACTCCTCCTCCTCGTTTTAAATAACTTCTTAGAAGCATGACAGTAAAATTCCTTTCTCTGCCAGTTTTGCTCTTCTGTTGATGACTGCTTTCCTCACTACCTAAGGGCCGAATCCCGCAGAACACTGGGCATTCCCAAACTCCTGTAGTTTTCAGGGGCACTTTGCATTTTGTCCAAACGAGGAGCAGCGCTGATCATACTATGAAGTGGATATATATTGTATAATTCCCAGTTCTCTTCCTAAGAAGCCTGAAAACAGCCATTCGGAAGCTGAAATAACCCTCTGCAATCTACTCAGCTGCAATACGGCATCATGTGTAATTTGAGCACTAGCAGCAGCATTAGAGGGAAAAATTCACTTAGTTAAAGTGCTTTCCTGCAATTTCCAGCTCCAATCCTAGGCCAGAGCAGTTTCCACCCAGATGAGATAAGAGATGGTGGCACAGGTCTAACTGGATTTTATCCCGGATTCTCAGGCGAGCTCACGGGAAAGGCTTCCCCCCCTCCGGAAGACAGACCTCTCCTCTAATCGAGGAAGGAGATATTAAAGGCAACAAATATCAGAGGGGTAGCCGTGTTAGTCTGGATCTGTAAAAAGCGACAAAGAGTCCTGTGGCACCTTATAAACTAACAGACGTATTGGAGTATAAGCTTTCATGGGTGAATACCCACTTCATCAGACGCAAGTCAGATGCAACAGTAAGGGCTGGTCTACCCTGAACATTTACATCAGCACAGCTACATTCCCCTAGCGGTGTGAAAAATCCACCCCCCTCAGAGTCGCAGCTATGCAGTCTAACCTCCACAGTAGACAGCACCAGGTCAATGCAAGAATTCTTCCATTAACCTAGCGACCGCCTCCTGGGGAGGTGGATTCACTACTGTGATGGAAGAACCCCTCCCCTCGCTGTCGTGAATGTCGACACTGAAGCGCTGCAGCTGTGTAAACATAACCTAAGTCACAGCCAGGTCTCATCGCATCAAGGACTACAGGATTTTCCTTACAGGACCAGGCCATCATTCCAGCGAGTCTGGTATCTTCGCTCCAGCACTGGCCAAAAGCGATTGCTTCAGAGACAGGCAAAAAAACCGCCGTGAAACTAGGCATTTATGCAGCACTGCACATCGGGGGTTAAAAGTGGCTTCCTGACCGTGGCAGGCTGGCTGCTTGTGCCCTGAAGCATGAGATTTGATCATGCCTCATAGTTTTAGTTCGCATGGCTGCAGAGGTGGTTGGGGTCATGGAATGAAACAGTCTTCCCTTTAAATCCAGCCGCGGAATTAATGAGGTGCAACAAAACACTCCAAACTAATCTGACAGAGCTCTAACACAAAAGGAAAATTAAAAGGGGAAGTCAAATGCTTTTTCTAGTGGCTCCTCCGAGCCAGGTTATCTGTACCTAAGGCAGCTTCCTGTCCCTTTTAATAGCTGCCCGGACCTCAAAACTGGGCAGGTTTAATAAAACCCTATAAGGGCAAAAAGCAGTGATCAGTGAAAGAAGCCACAACTGGAGTTCGTGAGCCTGACACTCCAGTGCACCGCATCTTGTCTAGTCCGTTACACCAAAGCAAGTGTTGCCACTCCAATTTGTCCCCATGATTATTCTGGGCTGCCAGATCATCACAGCAACAACCTGCTGTCCACTGCGAGACCATCAAGAGCCACAAAGCAATTGTGCTCCAGCAAGACGCCCCAGTCAGGGGCTTGATTCCAGCATTAATCCACCAGGTGCAGAACACACACAGCCAAGTTAACTGGGTATGGCCAGGAGCTCACAACAGCCTTGTTGCAACCCTCTCTTTATGGCTGGAGGGAAGGGCGATCCAGAAAGTTTTCACTGTAACATTGGGCCCCGTTGGGGAACAAAGGTTGAGAATCACTAACCTTAGTTAATCAGAACATCAGCTGGAGCTCAGAGTAGTTTGTGTTGAATATGTTGGGTGTTTTTTCTTTATAAGAGGCTTTGACAGAACTGAACAGAAAAATTTTTCAGGGGAATCTAAGCAAAACTGGGTGGCTTTTTTTTTGGGGGGGGGTATTGAAACATTGCTGGGGGGCAGGAAAACAGCACTAGGAAGTGAAAGTGACTATGAACAAAAGGAAAGCGACTGGTCTGATGTCACCCTTCAAGCGGAATTATTTGTATTGTGGTAGTCCCTACGAACCCCATTGTGCTCCCTGCTGTATGTGTAGGCCAGGCCAACTCTAGAAACCCTTGCCGATGTAGCTACGTGGCCGGGGTGCAATTTTTTGCAATATTTCTGTAATATTTTTCCAGCAGCCTAGCTGCAGTTATACCAGCATCAGGGTTGGTGCAACCACTTAGGCAAACTAGGCAGCCGCCTAGGGCGCCTAGTAGTTGAGGGCGCCTAAAAGCCCGCTCAGGCGAGGATGTGGAGTGGAGGTGAGCTGGGGGGAGGGGTGCAGGGAGGGCCGCCCGCAGTAACGGGGGGGTGCACAGGGGAAACGGTCCCCGCCCCAGATCACCTCCACTCTGCCTCCTCTGCTGAGCACACAGCCCCCACTTTAATTCTTCTCCAATCAGCGCCACAAGCCTGGGAAGGGAGGAGAATTAGAGCGGCACAGGCGTGCTCAGCGGAGGAGGCGGAGCGGAGGTGAGCTGGGGCGGGGTTAGCTGCCGTGGAGGAGTGCGAGGTTAGTTTCCGCGGGGGGGCTACCCGGGCGGGGTTACCTGCCGTGGAGGGGGGCGGGGTTAGCTTCCACGGGGAGAGGGCTCCCTGAGCGGGGTTAACT